ACACAATGTGCCAAGTGCCATTTGAACTACTTCACATGTCCAGGCCATTTTGGTGAGATTGTACTGCAGTCGATGATACTCAACCCGTTACTTTTCAAGGACTTATTCACGATTCTCAGGATGAGCTGTTTGAAGTGCCATCGGTTTAAAATTCCGGTAGATGTGCGTAAGCACGTGTTGCAGAACACTGGCGAACGATTGGTAGCTGCGATGAAGGAGCGTGTGGAAGGACGGTGTCCGTACTGTGCAAGCAGAGACCGGCTCAAAAAGCTTAATCTTAAGATAGTGAATGGCACGCAGTATGTACAGCCGTTCCGTGTATATCGTATTGTATGTGCGCTTCGGAAGAACGAGCCTGCCCTCTTTGAACGCATACACATTGATTACAAAGCATTCTTTATGCATAAAGTGTTTGTGCTTCCGAATAAGTTTCGACCGCTTAACCGCATGAACGATAAAATATTTGAGAGCTCGCATAACATTCATCTGTCAAGGATTGTAAAGATTAATCGAGTGCTTAAGGATGAGATCGAGAAGCTGCGGATTAAAGACGAGGAGAGCAAAAGAAGTAAAGGAAATGAAAGTGAGAAAATTGGAATGGATAGGGAGATTGGCGTAGACGAGACTGATAGAGTGAGCGGTGCAGATAAGACAAATAGAAGAGGCAGAGAAAGTAAAACGAGCGAGGAAAGAAAAAGGGCTGAAAAGGATGAAAATAGAAAAAGTGAAATGAGCCGAGAGCAACGCATAAACAAGGATTTGTGCAGCAACATTATCAGCAAAAACAATCGACGTGCATGTTTAAGTACCGCAAATATTGATCAGGCTAATCGATCAGACAAAGAAGCTGTGGAAAAAGGTCTTGGCATCGAAAAAGACAACAGAGTAAATACACACATTGACGATGACCTGTTGAACATGCTCAGTTGTGCTGACGAAAAAAGCGTGGCCTTGATAAATGGCCTGATAAACGCGCTGCAATGTGCAGTGCAGCACTATTTCGACAGCACGGAGTACCCAAATAAGAAAAAACCGCCCGGTTTCAAGCAAACCTTGGAGAAGAAGGAATGACTGTTCAGGCAGAACATGATGGGTAAGCGCGTCAATTACACGGCACGTACGGTAATATCACCTGATCCATACATCGCAACAGACGAGATTGGCATACCGATGCATATCGCACGCAGGCTTACGTTTCCTGAGCGAGTTACGCCATTTAACAGACAGCGTCTTGAGCGCTGTGTAATAAACGGACCGATATTTCCAGGTGCAGAATGCATCGTAGAGAATGGTGTCAAACGCAGCCTCAAATATGTGAAGAACAGGGGGGCGCTTGCCAAGACATTGCTCAAGAACAGCGCTGTGGTACATCGACACATGACATATGGTGATATGGTGCTGGTCAACCGGCAGCCCACATTGCATAAGCCCTCTTTAATGTCGCACCGCGTATGCATCTTGAACGATAAAACAATACGGATGCATTATGTGAACTGCAACAGCTACAACGCAGACTTTGATGGCGATGAAATGAACATTCATCTCGCGCAGAGCCTGGTGGCGCGTGCAGAAAATGCGTATCTGAGCAGCACACACGAGAACTATGCATTAAACGGCAAACCTGTGCGTGGGCTGGTACAAGACTATGTAGTAAGCGTGTTTAATATTACTTTAAAGGACCGGTTGTTCAGCCGGTCAGAGATCAACGAATTGCTCATTGCATCGCGTGAGTTACGTTTTACGATCACCAGCCCAGCCGTGCTACGTCCAAAAGCATTGTACACCGGCAAGCAGTTGGTAGCGATACTTTTGTCAGCATACGATCTTAAAATGAACTACTTACATACAAACAAGATTAGTACGTTATACTGGAAGGAGCATTATGAGGAGAGCACCGTACGCTTTCACAATGGTTATTATGTGCACGGCGTGCTCGATAAGAGTGAGGTGGGTCCCTCTAAGGATGGTCTTGTGCACTGTATAGGGATGCTCAAGGGCTTCCATGTATGTAACGATATCCTTACGGCTATAGGGCGTATGGTAAGTCGATACTTGGTTTGTTACGGACAGCCTCTGGGAATTAGTGATTTTGTGCTAGAGAAGAAACACGAACGGATTAGGGCCGATATTTTTAAAGAAGGGATGGAACGAGGCGATGGTGTGCTACAGGGGTACGTGCAGGAAGTGTTCAAGGATGTTGGAGGTGGTAGAGATGGGAATACTAAAAAAGAAAACACCAAAAATGTTAATTATGGTATAGACATTGACAACGATACCAACACAACTATTGATCCAGTCGGTGTTATTAACCATGTTACGGTACCTTCATCATCTACCCTATATAATACACCCGTAACGATGGCGCCTATGATAAATCTCAGCAAAAACGAAAGAATAAACTTGGACAACGTAATAAAGAAAGAAATGCACACTGTAACATCACAGGTGGGTGATTTACTCATCAAAGGCATAGAAACACCCTTTCCTTTGAACAAAATGGCGAACATAATATTATCAGGTGCTAAGGGCAGTATAGTGAACTTCTCACAGATAAGTGGTTTACTCGGTCAACAAAGCTTAGAAGGTGGAAGAGTGCCGTTGATGAGTAATGGTCGCTCTTTATGCTCTTTTCTCAGTAGCAATGTGCTTTCTGGTGGTTTTATTTTCAATCGGTTCCTTACCGGTCTATCACTCAGCTCGTTTTTCTTCCATTGCCAGGCTGGTAGGGAAGGTCTCATTGATACAGCTGTAAAAACGAGTAGAAGTGGATATTTGCAAAGATGCATAGTTAAGATGATGGAGGGTACGGTGGTGCACTATGATACGAGTGTGAGAGATGATTTGTTGGTGCAGTATGTGTATGGAGAGGATGGCAAGGATCCCAATAGGATACTAAACGAACGGTTTATAGAGATGAATACGGTTAAAGACCAGAGTGATGATAAGAACGTTGAGAATAAGGACTGGGCCGATGGTGAGAACATTACTAAAGACGAGAGTAATGAGAAAAAGTGTAAGAACATTGACAAATCCAACACCGCTATTTGTAGTACGGAAACAGAAGATAAACCACCTTTGAAAGGCACAGATATGCAGATAAGCAGTGCATTTTTGAGGCAAAGAATACAACCGGGTGAAAGTGTTGGCATGATTGCTGCACAGGCAATAGGCGAGCCATCAACGCAAATGACCTTGAATACCTTTCACCTTGCAGGTTGTGCAACGAATGTAACACTGGGAATGCCAAGGCTAAAGGAGATACTAATGGTAGGCAGTAAAAATGTGAGTACAGTGATAAAAGGAAAGATAACAAACAGAATTACGTTTGATCCTAGCACAGTGTTCCTTAAGGATGCTCTGTTCTACTTTAAGGTGGTTGAACGGAATGAAACGGATGTATTGTTTGTTTTGAACAGGGATGTCGGCAAGGATACGATCGTACGGTTCAAGAGAATGTTTTTAAAAGAGATTAACAAGGGTATGGGGAAGAGAGTGACGGTACGCGAAATTATCAGGAATAATAAAAGGGATGTTGGGGATGGTCTGGATAGCGATAACAGTAGTGAAGATTGCCTGGATAGTAGTAGTAATGGGGCTGGTTTAAGTACTGGCATTGATAGTAATAGAGGCAGGAATATCAGTATCAGTAATGATGAGAACGATGCTGTAGTCGAGAATAATAGCAATGAAACTGCTGGAAATACGATCAATGATGGGAACGGTGCCATCTTTTCAAGGATATACACGGAGCAAGAACTGATAGAGCAGATTAGAGACCATTCATGGTCATACAACGTAATAAGAGTAACACTGAGTGCTTGCGTACCAGTAAATTCTACGATAGAAAAAATGAGAGAAAAATTTCGATTGCTAGACAGCGATATAACAGGCATAGAAATAAATAACGATGAAGTAACGGTGCTAGGGTGTGACTATCACACGTTCTTTAATTATGTGCCAAGTCACGGCGTGTATCTGAACGATTATATCGATTTTAATACGTGTATAAGCAATGATGTATACAATACATGGGAGGTATTAGGCATAGAAGCATGTAGATCGGTGATCATCAGAGAGATAAGGGCGGTGTTTCAAGCGTATGGTATAGAAATTGATGTACGTCATTTGATGCTGATTGCTGATAAAATGACCGTTACGGGTGAATATGTCGCGTTTAATAGGCATAGGATGGGTGGTTCGGTGCTTGGGAAAATGTCCTTTGAAAGCACCTACAACTTTTTAAGGAAGGCGTATCTTTATGGTTGTGATGATGAGTTAGAAGAACCAAGTGCACGTGTTGCTCTCGGATTGCCAGTTAGAAACGGAACAGGTATGTTTGATCTGCTCTACGATGATAAATAGGAATTGCTCTATGATCCGGTGAAAAAATGTGCCTTTAGATGCCATTGAAGCCGAGATTTGGGACGAAGATTGAAGAATAGAATTGTGATGTTTGGAGGTTGGTGTAGCGATCAGTGCTGAGCAATGAATTGGGAAAACATGCAGAATAAATTAAATTTGTTGGACGTATTTTCGTACACGTAGCTGCAGATTTTTAGAACTAATTCTTTGCAAATTAAAAAAATGTTTGATAACACAAACTGGTTGTTGCTTTCGGAAAATATTCAAGTGATAGGATAGTGATATGGTAGATTGAGATGCGCCTAAGTGCTAAGATATGGTGTAGTTATGTACAAATACTTGCAATTTATTAGTTGAGCTTAGACGTCACTGTCATACGGAGATTGTTTGCTAGATTTTCTTATTATTTTTTTATTAGAAGTTGTTTACCATCTCAAACATGACACCAGCTGGACAGACACAGAAATACTATGTCATAGAACCATCATGAGAGTTCCACTAAATAAGAGTTACTCGCAGGTTGTTTTATCGTATGTAACACGAGGTATATATGCTTTGCCTATATAGGGCGGAACAAAATGACACGCCCTAGTACGCTACCTAGAAATGAAGATTGTTTGTTTAGCGATTATTTCTCGCTTGAAATATTTGTTATACATTTTTGTGATTGTCAGGTTCCAATAAAATTTTTAGTTAATACACATCGTTCTTGCTGCTCATATCCTTTTACACAACTCAATCATCCGCTTGAAAAGATGCCGTGCATCTATAGCACCAGTCCTTCTCTTACTCATACATCGCTTTATAATCTCTGCTTCCTCCCCATACGTATCGACAAACCACTCAGGCAATTCTCCGGTATTCTTCAATCGGGTGCGCAATATATCCATTTCCATCACCGTTTTGACCGGACACAGCATCTCAAAATAAAGTATGCCACAGTCATAAACATCCTTATAATGGCAGTTCTTGCACTTCATACCTCTTCGTAGACCAAAGTCTGATATTTTGGGCACTAATACCGTCTCGTGTTTCAGCAGAATATTGTTCGATTTGATATCACAGTGAAAGATATTGTTGGAGTGCAGGTAAAGGATACCTCGTACTATGTCTTTAAACAGCAGTGCTATGAAATGCCGATTTATACATTTTTTGTTTTGATAATTTATTATGGAACTGTTGTACAGATAAAAGTATTTGTTTTGGTACATCAAAACATTTGCAGAGCATTTGAGGAACCTGTTGCAGCGCTTCTTGTATTCTTGTGTGAACAAATCACCCGTATCGAAATAAATCACGTTTTGGTGTTCTTTTTGTTCTAAAGTGCTATTTACATTGTTGTTTGGTTTTTTTACAGTGTCAAAAGCTGGCTCGTATAAGTTTTTGTCATTGAGTTCGCTACTGGGCTTCTTTACATTGTGAACGGATGTATGAAATGTGCCTGTCTTGCAAAATGCCCTGTTTGATTCTTCTACACTTCGACGCTCTCCATTCGAATAGCGGTGCCATGATCGGTTGTTTGTGCGATGCTCATTCAAATATCCTTTTGTACGATTGATGAGAACAACATCATTTTCACGTCTCTGTAGCTTTTTATCATCCTGAATTGCGTCAACACTCAGTTCATCAAGCATTCCTTTCAGATCCTTACCGTAGAAAAACAGCTCATTTCTTTTTGCTATAAATTCGCTCAACGTAAACTCGCAGTAATCGCACACCATGTAATAAAACCGCTTCTCACATCCTTGAGCCTTCAAAGACCCCAGGCTATCGCTAAAAATCGAGTGCTCATTTAAGGCACTCATACGGTCACGCAGCTTGCCCATATCAAGTGAACACGCCTGTTCGTCGTTATCACCCGTAATAACGTCTTTCAGCTGCTCAGGCCGTTCAGACATGAACAGCTTGGTGTACTTAATTATATTCTTGTGCGTGATATGCCTGGGCAAGCACTCATTGTGCACATCCTCCTGGCAACATAGGTTAATTTCCTTGAGAGCAAAATGCTGGCCCGTGTGCACATTCATCATTTTGTACACGCTTGCATGTGTACCTTGCCCAAGCTTCTGCGTAAATTTAAAATCGCGCCAATAATTGTCCTTGAGTGTCATTTCGGAGGATCACGGATTAAGTTATTTAAATGTACCAAAAAATCTGAAGTGCCGTTTAAAGAAAACACACACTTTAATGGCGCACTCAAAAATTGGTAGCAAATATAGCACTTCAAAATAAATGAACATTAAGACGTACCATGTGTAACAGAGGAAAAATGATCAAAAATAAGCAAGACGGATAAATTAATCTGATGAAAATTCTTATGGTGTAATTGAAGACATGGCACATGTGAGGAATAAAAGTCTTTAAACCATTAGAGATTATCGCTTCATCCCTGAGAATATTCGATGATTGACATGATAGGTGAATAAGCAAGGCATGCACTGATGATATGTATTGAAGAGCATAATAGCACGTGTATAAGTATAACGATCTTGTATTTTGCTGACTATCACTCTGAAACACGGCAAATTATACATTAAAGAAAATTAGTAGCATTTTATTGTATGTTTGTACGTAGGGCTACGAGCTCATACCGTACCGAATACAATTTTCTTCTCACAATAGAAAGTGCTATCAGATCAGTGTAAGTATGGATACTCCGAAATGATGTTCTACATGTTTGTACTGATGTATTACCATGAGCAAGCGCATTTTCTATAAATTTCCTTTTTTCTCTAAAAGTATCAAATAAAGCGTAATAAAAAGGAACCATATGATAAAATAATTTGTTTAGCACAGCGTGGTGGCAATCTCATTTGCTATGTCTCTATTGATTGTGTGTTACGCTACAATCACAAGTTTTTGTGTACGTTATTTTTCCTATGATAACTTCGGAAATTATTATTTTTGGATAGAATGATGAATTTAATCAAAAGTTTGGTTTTTATACGGATAATGCGCTGTTGCAATTTGGGATAATTTTCTCCATATTTGAGTTTTTTGATTTGACAGCCACGATATGCCTCTCAACAGCGCTTTATTTACAAAATCACTTTACCCGTAGTGTTGCCGCATCGAATATTCATTTCTTAAGAAAATGCCACGGACAAAATACTATTTAAAAAAAAGAAGCGGCGCGCCCCCCCTTTCTCACCCTGGATTTGAAAGAAAATGAAGGACGAGACCAAAAGATCAAAATTTAGATTTACGCACTACCAGATGCTTGTACCAGAACATAGGGTATTTTTGTTGTGAGCAACAGCTTCTTTGACAGTCGAAATGTAATTTTACAGTGCTTTATTTTTCTATATTCAGAACAAAATTATTTTCTGTGGACTACTTGTGGTGACAGGCACTGAATAGTGAGATGCTACAAGGAGTGTGGTTGACACGAAGACATAGTGTTTGTATCTTCATGCATTCTTTTGAATATGGGAGAATGTTATACTTGAATTTGATGATACCCTTATGGCATTGCATTTTCTTTCTGCAGCTGCAAGCCAAATATGCACTCAGCAGTTTCTTATTCCATGCAAAATGTTACCTGATCTATTGTGTGCAGATCCAGAACTAGAAACACCATAGGGCTTTTGCCGATTTTCATGTTTATAATTATGATAGAAAGGTTTTGATAAAGATTACAATGTTAAAACTGGAGAAAAGATGATTAATAATGTTAACTTTTATAGAAATTAGAATTTAGGAATTTGTTGTAACTAGATACCTTGCAAGACATAAACCTGAAACTGATAACTGTTGTTTTATCCTTTTAAATAAATTGTCCGTTTTCGTTGGAATGTTTCGGCATGCGAACCTGGTGAATCTTCTCTGATTGGTATTTACTTTATAAAAGGAGATTATTCTATAATTAATGAGTTGTACCATAGAGACCTTTACAAACATGGTAATGTGCCAAATAACATGCAATACAGTTTGATAGAATGTATTTACCATACCAAAAATGTACCTTTTCATTTTATAATGGTCCTTTTAGCTAGCAGTCTCAATATGATGATTTGAAAAAACATACTGTATATGGCGGTGTAATACAGGTAAAGAGTGAGGATACCAAAGATAGCGAACAAGAACTAGAACCGCTCAGTAAGGGACCCGAAGTAATTACATGTGATAAACGGAAGAAAATACTACTTTTAAATCACTTGCGGTCACGCATACACACCTGTCTCATTTTCTACACGATTCTGTAGATAAATCAATAGTTTTAAACACGACCAAGCTTGATCATGACATTGTACTTATGTAAACAGCATTTAACTCGTTGTATCGTGCTTTACTCCCTTTAATTGTCTCTGTCACAACATTATACGCTTTTTATCGATCCTTCCTAATTAGAAAATAGATAAAAGTAGTAATCGTGCTAAAATGAAAGGCAGAGAAAAGATAAACTAATCTTACGGGACAGTTCCTTTATATTTTATGCTTTACTCATTAACATTCTGCAATATTTAAACATTACTATCTCCACACTGTAGAGTCTATTACGGCTAGAACGTGTCTTGGGATGGTATAAACTTTAATTTTGGTGGATCGAATTCATGTTGTTGATGGATGTCATGAACGGCGAAACCAAGCGATTTAATGATTCATTGTGAGAATAATAGAAAATAATTACGCGTACACCTCGTATTTTTGACACAACAGCACATATCTCTAATGGTTCATCCTAATAAAAATGCGATTCAGGTACCAATAAACCTTTTTAAAACAACGTTAAATCAATCTTGGAAAGCTCTCTCAGATTTAAAGCACTGTTAAGCGTGTTTTATTTTCCATCTTGTTGATTTATGATTGATAACAGCATTCCATGCTGTGTTGCTCGTGTGATCAATACTATCTCTCACCAAACCATGCATTCCTATCCTTTTAGTTCCTTCACGTGTCGTTATACCGAATATTTTGCTGTCCTAGGCGAGTGCAAAATTATTGGGTTTTAAATCGTGCTAGAATCTAATGAACAATAGAGAGATATGTCAAAAATAGGATTGCTATGGAATCGATGAATGTAATGTTGAGTTATTAGCTCGAAACGTCCAGGAATTTTCGCGCTTTTTATCTTCTTAGGTTGAACGCTTTAGCTGAAATGTACCTTTACTGCTTATTATAATGTTAAAATAAAGCAAAAGAACATAAAAACACTGTAGATCACGTATTTTAGATATTTAATCAGTTAAGGATCACTTTCTTTTCTTCTGTTGCTTCTTTTTCTTCATTTCTTT